CTAATAAGGTTTTAACGAGGTACATTATCTATGGACATCCAAGGGGGAGTGTTATAAGAAAAATCAAATTATGGTGGATGTCTACTCTTCCTCCATGATCTTCTCAAATGCTTAATGACATATTCAATGACATATTTCTATGCTTAATGACATATTCAATGACATATTTTTCTTCACTTTTCATGCCTATATAAAGGCCTTGTAATAGATAGGAAAATACACACAATTGAAGAAGAAAATCTCTTCTTTCTCTCTATCTCCATTTCTTGTTCATGTTTTACTAAATTGCTTTTATTTCATAACAACATGTCTTGTTCATGTTTTACTAAGTTGCTTTTATTTTATAACAATTCCAAGCTTAAAAATTGGAGTTTGATTTTTGTTCCCATTTCAAGTATATAGAATCAATACCTCCTATTTCATCCTAAATTAAGTATATCTCAAGCGTGCAAAAAAAAAAACGTAGAGGGAAACAGGTAAATGGGAGCTGAATTTATACTTGAAAAGAAGAGAAAAAAATAGTAACATTGCTTTCTTTACCTAGTAAGGTCTAGCCAATCATGATAGTGGGGAGTGTAATGTTAAATTGTTAATTGTCCACAAATTGATTTAAAGTCTATGAAAATGAATAAAATATGGACAGATGTCTCCCAATATTAAAGCATACACGTAATAATAGTTGGGCCCAAAAGGAAAGGCAATGGAATCTTAACATCATCTTGTGATAACCTTTTTTCCGAGATAAATTGTTTTTTACTATAGGGTTGGAAATTCACAAGACTCAATTAATTCGGGTTTGTGTCACAAAAAATTTATGGGATTTTATTAAAGAGGACTCTAGTTTTTAAGACTTAAACTCGATATTTCTAATTTAGGTAAAGGAATTTTTATCATTTCACCACATTCTTAGATGATATTGAGATAATATTATTACACAAAAAAATCTTCTTAACGAATTCTAAGAAGCAGTTCTTTTTTTTTTTAAATGTTCATCTTCCTTTGAAGGAATGAGATAGACAATGTATATGGAAAAATCCTTTCTAAATCATGAATGAAAGATCCAAAGAGGGGGAGAGAAGGCTACTGAATCTTCTGGTAATTCCAAAAGAATGTAAAAAGAGCTTCCTCTCTTTTCCTTCTCAATAGTCATTTGTGCATACTAATAGCAAAAAAATGGAAAAAGAAGCCAAATGAATGTTTACAGCTAATTTCCCATTTACACGGTTAAGTAAATCAAAATTCTTGACTCTTGCTATCAATTGTGAACATCTTTTTTAAGAAAAGTAAGAAATTCCACTGATACCTTACTTCATCATTCTTCTTTTGCCTCTTCTTCTTGCCCAAGTCTTTTATAAATAATTATTTAATTAACCTTCTTTATTTAATCTCTTTTACAACTTTTTCCTTTTTGGCCGGCTGTTTGTTTCACTTTTATCATCAAATCACACACTTTACACCTACATTCCTTTCATACCTTGTCTTGCTCCTCTATACATATTAATGTCACAAACTTTGAGCTAGCATTTATCGCATTGAGGGTTAGTTCTCTTGGCCTAACAAGAAAACTGACCACATTTTTTATCAAAACTCCTGCACAATGGAAAGTTATGCTACATGTTCAAACCAGTACTCCTCACACAGAGGAGTAGCAATGATTTTAGCACTTGTTTCAGCTGTTGTGCTATCGCCATTGTACGTGGAACGACGAAACAAAGATAACAGTTATTACGAGACAAGATGGAGTTCTGGGGGAATTGTATTGCCTGTGTTACTAGCTGGATTAATAGTTGCAATTAAAACCACTTCATCATCAGGACAAGGAGGGGCTAGAGCGTCGATTTTAGCATCTCCAGAACCTTCCTCTGTGCTTAGAATTGGGAGTTCCTCTTGGGGACTTGCTGGTGTTTTGGTTATGCTCTTATGTGTGCTTTCTTGGCAGACCTCTATGCAACATTATTTGTGGAAATAGATGTCTAAGGATCATATTAACTATCCATCTCTTCCGTGTCAAAAGAGAGAGTCACTACTTTTCGAGCTATATATGGTTTTAAATTCGTCATTTGTGCTTAAAAGTACAAGTATTTGAATCTATTAGTAGATGATATTAAGACGAGCCATGGTGGTTTGCATGTAACCGCCATTGTAATGAGAAATTTGGAGGTCAAAAATCAGCGGAATAGAATAAATTGGAAATTAATCGAGTACTCCCCTCTTACTTCGAAATTTTCTTAGTTTTCTTTTCTAGCTAACTGTGTATTGGTGGTTCACTTCGCCCATTATCAAATTGAACATTGATATGAGGATCTCATTCTTCTTCATTTCCTTTATATTTCATTTCGTCTTGCTCCCAAATTCATTTTCCGCTTCTTCGAGAACTTATTATCTTTTCCTTTTTCACTCCCCAGTAATCTAATTAATACTGTTATAGGTGTTATTTACTTAAAATTTATAAGAAGCAATCACGATGAGCAAGAAGGAGAAGGCCCAAGAAGCCAACGCACAGAAGTTAAAGAGCGAGTCTGCATTTTCAAAATACTCAAAAATGCAAGACAAGACTTAACAAATCAGTTACCTATATCTTTTTTTATAAACAGAACCATAACTGTTCTGTACAAATGCTTATCGTTTGTATTTATGTACAAGAGTAAAGGTAAACTTTAATCTAGCAGGAAAGAAAATCAACTGTCGTCAACTGTCAACTCCTCAGACCAACTACTGCATTGGCAGCAGGAAGAGGACTAACACCTCGATCATACATTCGCTGGATCTCCTCCCTGTACTCGATCAATGACTTATGTGGTATTGCTGGAGTTAATTCTATAACATCTCCCATTTTTAGCTTGCAGTTGGGATCACTAACTGGTTCATGGTTCAACCTTGGCCTTAGCTCTTCCTTTAATGGAAATCCATAGGGTGTCCATCTAGAACTGCCACGACCAGCTCTCTCCAAAAGATCCTTGACAGTTGAGTTTGCTGGGAATTCTTGCACAGACATCTGCACAGCAGAAACACAAGAGTTAAAAAACCACATTCAGATAGTTGCCATTTCCAGTGACACCATAAAAATCAATTCTTCAACTTTCAGTATCCACAAGTAGAGAAGTACGAAACAGGAAATAATAATATAGACGAACCTTATCGTTGTCAATCATAATGATAAAGACAGGTCCATCAGTTCCACAATTAGGTTTGCAAGAAAATGGACAATCTTCAGAATGAGCAGGGAATTTGCAAGGTGGCTGAATAGATTCAGTGTGGCCAACAGATGATTGGTCTCTGTTCATTGTCTCACACTGCCAGCTAACAACCCAACGAGCCCACTCTACCATCTGATTTACAAAAGAAGAGTGTTTGCAAGCGCCTTCTTTGTATCTCCAATGAGCAGCGAAACCATATTCAGCTTGCAAGTGCATCTCCTTTGTCCGGATCTGAACTTCAAGAGGCACCATACCTTCCCCGAGCACAACCGTATGAAGAGATTGGTACCTGAAAATTACACATCGATATTAGGGCAAACACTTGAAGAAAGAAACGCATCTCAAATATCTCGTGCTTTTTACCCGTTGAATTTTGGATTTGCTATGTAGTCCTTGTATCTCCCAGGTACTTCACTCCATAGCTGGTGAACAACTCGAAGTGCTTTATAACAGTCTTCTTTATTTTCAACTATCAACCTTAACCCATGAATGTCATGGACTTCATCCATATTAAGCTTCTTCCTGTAGATATTAACAGCGACATAAAGCAACGTCAGTAAAAAAAACATGCACATGACGGGAAATGCATAAGACTTCCAGAAGTTTCTAAGATGTGATCTCAAGGACAAGTAATTATTATCAAACTCAAATCACAGAAAAGCAATCTCCACAACCCTATAAAGCATTGTCTATGTATGAACTACAAGCACTAAATAGTAAATAATTGACTGATTAGCCAAATCCATTGGTGCAATTCTTACAGGATTAAATGAGCCAATATACTTCGACACATTTGGGTCTTTCTTTCTCTCTTTTTTTCCAGTGCTTATCGAGTGGGTTAGGGAAGAGGGGGGAGAGAAGAGAGAGAAATTACTTTAGCATCTTGCAGTAAATGCTGTACAAGCTCTTGTGACGCCCCGAGAGAACATGATAAGAAACAGAGTCATCCTTTAGCGCTTGCTCCAACTTCCCCACGGAAGAAGTAATCATAACCTCATCAAAAGACTTAACAAGTTTCGATGAGAGCTCATTGTGCTGATCTGGGTTAAGATGTTTAAAGCAGAGGTTTTCCAGCTGCTCCTTCCAGGTTGAGATGCCTAAGCGATTGGCAAGAGGAGCAAAGATTTCCAAAGTTTCCTTCGCAAACCTTTGCTGCTTCGTCAATGGCAATGCATCCAAAGTCATCATATTATGCAAGCGATCAGCTAGCTTTATGAGAACTGCTCTGGCATCTGCCATAGCAAGGAACATGGTGTGCAATCGATCTGCCTCAACAGTTTTACTAGCTGTATTAAAGTCTCTTGCAAGCTTGCTCAATTGACTCAGCTTTGACACCTGGAAGAAATGATACAAGTTAGAACAAGTGTAACACTCGGGAAATCTCATCAAACATAGACGAATCTAGATGCTCGATAGTCCTATCATCTCTTAACCTTCACTAATCAAAGACATGCCACAGCTTTAACATTCAGGAGAATCCACATTCAAACCCAATTAAACCCCGTTTACCCAAAAATGATGTTTCAATAATAATATATTGAACTTCTGTTTCTCCAAATAGTGATTTGGCCATCAGTATTGGACAAACATTCTGAAATACTAATGATGCACTGAAAACTTCTTTGCACAGTACTTCAAATGAACTAACGTTTTACACTAACAAAGCTACAACCTTTTTTCCAAGTGAGATGAGTATCAAAAATAACTTCAAATTCGATATACCCTTTCTTAACTTATCTTCAGATACTCTTTTTTTCAGCTTAAACCATGTATTAAACGCCTACTTTTACCAAATCCCACACTAAAGACATATTTAATCTACGTTTTGGATGTGGAAATTATCACCATCGTTATCAGTTTTGAAAATGAACTGTAACACCCTTTGCATATGGAAATATTATTAGCGAAAGTCAGGTGCCATGTTCAAGCCTACCGCGCAGAAAATATGAAACGCAACACTAAGATCAGATAATAAAACAAGAATAAAACAAGTCTCCATACCCCTTCAACCAAATCAGCAACCCCAGCGCCTAACGTCCGGAAAATATAGTCATAAGTCATGAACGTGTCATCAAGCGTATCGTGCAGAAGTCCAGCAGCGACGACAGTTGAGTTAGCTCCAATCATTGCAAGTAAAACTGCAGTCTCAACGCAATGCTGTAAATAAGGATCACCACTTGCTCGCACCTAACAAACAATACATAATACAAAAGGTCAAAACTAAAACATCGACAACGAATAGAAAAGGAAATTAAACTAAGTTAGACAAAGACACTCACCTGTCCTCTATGTGCTTTCTCAGCTTCATAAAATGCCTTAATCACAAAATCATCATAAAAGATTTTATGCCTCGACTGTGCATTCAACAGCAAATCTTTCGCATAAGGTTCAGAATTCGACTCCAAGAAACCCTCCTCCATGTTAAACGTGAGTTCATCCAATAACCCTGATGAAGGGGAATCCACATCCAGGACCCGGAACGTCACCGGATCGTGATCAACGCAGGATCCTAAAGCGTGCCTAACGAATCCATTGAACAATCCACCAGTCCCAGAACGAATGGACCCCACATCCCCAGCAATTCTCTTCGGCGGACTTCTAGAACATGATCCAATTCCAGTACTACTAGTGCTAACAGGTCCTTGAAAAACCGAAACTGGACTCTGATCCCTTTTTAAGGACGAGCTAAGGGACGAACAACGAAACGAGCTGCTCAATTCGTCACCTCTCTCGTGCCACAAAGACCCCAAATCCTCTGTTCCTGTCGAATAATTCGCCTTCACCGTCGGCGAAGAGAACAGACTCGATAGCCCTCCGACAAATGATTTACCGGACGAAGACGATGTTGAAGATGACGACGAAGACGATGTTGAAGAAGACGACGAAGATGATCTGCCGTTCAAATCAAAATCATACGACCCGTGTGAATTGATCTGACATGGATACGGCGTGGAACACACACTACTCGGTGGACTTGCGTACAGTGCTATCGTCGGAACCGCCATGATTAACACCAAATTGAAAGCTCAAATACTGAATTTCACCACCAAAGACCGAATTTTCACAACAATTCTGAAACCCTAATTCCTAAATTTGTGTCAATCAATTCAGAATCTAGAGTCACAAATAAAGAAATAATCAATCTAAACCTGAATAAATGTGAGGTAACCTATAAGCTCTTAGATTTTTTTTGATAATTGTGGTATGTACAACAAATATGTGCAGATCTGAGTGAATTTTTTCCCAAAAAAATTGGGGAAAGTTGGGAAAAAAAGGAAAGGAAACTTTAACAAGAATTTGGGGGAAAATAAACTCCTCAAAATCGGGACTAATTGTTGGAAGAGAGAGTTGAAGACGCTGGAACTGAATTGGTTTTTTTTTTCAAGAGAGATTTGTTCTTCTTTTTTCTCCAATTACTCTTTCTTCGAGTTTGTGAATACTGTTTGCGTTGATATTCTTATGCGTTCATGCTCGTCTTTATGGTTGCTTTAGGGGCCAGGAATAGGGAAAGTAAAATGACTGGAATAGCCTCAAGGAGTCTATGAAATAACGGAAAATTCGTGCTTTTCGTCTGCGTTTGTTTCTCCGGCTTAGAGTTTTAATGGAGTAATTTATTGGTAACATACTAAGATCTAATGTCTTAAACTTAAGAATATTTTAATGCTAAGATTGTCAGAATGGATAAAATTAGCTGATTAAATTAATGAAAAGTGATGTGTTTAGATAAGAATGGGATGGTATTATATGTGCCTCATCTGTACCATTTAATGATGCATCTTATAGACCCTCTTTGCATCTAATTCCTTGCTCTACATTTACTCTTTTTCTAAAAGCAAATCCTTAAAAAATAAGGTCATTAGCGTTAAGTTTAAAGAGTATTAAACCGTGTTTTATACAATGGTTTATGTCCTTTTTTTTTCTTGACAATTAATCAATTGCCGTATACAAAGGGAACCAGGGGAACCAGATACATAATAATTTCAATTCTGTCTAGCTTTATTAAGTGAGATAACTCAATAATTGTCTAAACCTTTTCTTGTTCCTTTTAGACCTTGTCCCAGAGTACTAATACTCTTTCTTCATTGATCGGCTCTTTTATTACTTTTTGTTTTAATTTAATAATATTTCATATGTCTAATATTTTAAAATTATTTTTTTATTTAATTATATACAGTATCCTTTGGTTATTTTTAACTAAGAATGGAAGGATCTCACACAGTTCACCCCACCTTTTGTAGCAGGATTTATGTCGCTTTATTTTCAATTTGCGAAAAGATATTTCCTGATGAAATTTACGTAGTTGTTTTTTACTATAAATTTTTAAAATGTATTCTGTATTGCTCACTAGGAAGAGGGTAAACCTAAGTGATTAGCATACATAGAAACCTATTACCTTTGAACTTATCTATATTTATACTATATTAAAAGTACGAAAATTCTTAGCGAAATGTCATTCGACTTTTTATCCTTTTAAAATAAAATTCATGTTAGATAAAATAGTCATTTAATTATTTACCTAATATGTTTAGGATCTTAAAATGCTAAAATTTTGCATATGAAATCCTTCCTTATTTAAAATACTACTATATAAAAAGCCCTAATATTTAAAACTTTTAAAGCAATTAAAATTATAACTAATACGAATAATTTTCAAACATGAACTGCATAACATGACATTTACATTAAATGTAAAGCTTACAAGGAAACTTCAAGTCATTAGTGTTTGACCAAAAAGTATAACTTTCGGTTAAAACTATTATATTTAGATAATGATAGGTTAAACCTAGTTAATGATAATATCTCTAAATGCGGATCTAGAAAGTGTGGATAATGTAGGAGATTGACAATAATATGCATTAAATATTCCAAAAAGTATGAGCAATAATGGAGGAGTAACTAGCAATAAATGACATTTAAGTAAATATGAGGAGTGATTCACCCAATAAAGAATGAACTGGATGATTGTTCCTCTTGACAATGATGAGTGACAGATAATTCCTAGAATGTTCAAACTATTCTCGGATTTGATGGAAAAACATGGAATAATATGAACAAGAATCTTGATGAAAAGGTAATGTTGTATCTTTGCTAGAGAGATAAACTTTTTCTGTAATCCGTTCTTATCATGTCAATGTTACATATCCCCCTTTCCTCTATTTTTTCTATTTTTACGAGACATACCACTAATAAACTCTAATAGTGCATATGCAGAAAGTATTCTTTAGAATATTCCCTCTATTATCCTATTCTAAAAACTAGCTGTTACGGTTCTTTCCGCGGACTTCGTCCTCGACCATTATAAGCATCCCGACCACGAGCTTCACCATTTCCTGATCGACCTCGACTGATTTTTTCACAATACTTTCTTGCCCTAAATGTTCCGTGGTAGATTTCAACCTATACAATTAGTATGGTGGTAAAACTAGATCACCTTTTATGAGCTATATTTCTAAATTCATGTTCATGTTACAATTCAATTAGAAATATGTATGATTAATTTTTTTCTTTGGTTGAGTATTTAAATGATTGGTTCGTAGGCAAAATACTAGCATTTTGGTCCAAACTAGAATATATTGAACTTTCTGATAAGTCTATTCATTCATACAATATTTATTTTACAAATTAAAACTAGATAAAAATGAATGAAATCAAATTTGTATAATTATAAAACCAAACAAAAAACACGATTAAGTCGGATTTAAAATAAAACACCACAAAAATTATGTAGTGTTGGATTTAGTTTCAAAATTCTCTTGAATCGTAATACCTTGAAAGTTACTAATACCAATCTCAAACTACTTTAAAAAATAACAAAACTAATGCAAATACATACATCTTGTTCGGAAATTTATTTAATATTTCAACTAAATCTTGTGCATTAGATCCTTTTCTTATTTTAATTATATATTAAATAATTTTATAAAATAAAAGTATACCAAAAATGAAAAACAATCACAGAGAATAAGTAAAAATTTAACTATTATTTATTTTAGGTTGAATTATTCTTTGTATAAAATTATAATCAATTATGTTTATATATTTTTATTATCTTTGTAGAAATAAAAAATTAAAGTGAAAAAAAAAACTAAGTAGGAAGAAGCTATAGCTAAAATTGATAGTGTCGATGTGATGACCCAAAATATCATCTTTAAAGTTAATAATTAATTCTATATTCTAAGACTTCAAAAAGTATTATTTATCATTACTCGACTTGCGTGCACAGTCTGTAAAATTTTCCGGAAAGCTTTTATGTGAAAAAATGGATTAAAATGTGAATTAGAGCTTTAAAATCCAACTGATTTGACTTTGGTCAACATTTTGAGAAAACAGACTCGGATCAGTATTTTGATAGTTCCGGTAGGTCCGTATAGTGATTTGAGACTTAGGCGTATGCCCGGAATCAAATTCCGAGGTTCCTAGTCCGAGATATGGAATTTTGATTAAAAAAAATTAAAAGTCTAAGTTCAAATAGTGATCGGATATCGAATTATATGCAAATGACCCTGAAATAGAATTTTGATGATTCCAACAGCCCTGTATGGTAATTTTGGACTTAGGAGTATGATCGGAATTTTATTTGGAAGTCCGTAGTAAAATTAGGCTTGAAATAGCTAAAATAGGAATTTAAAGTTTGGAAGTTTGACCGGGGAGTTGACTTTTTGATATCGGGGTTGGAATTCAGTTCCGAAAATTTTTATAGCTCTGTTATGTCATTTATGACTTGTGTGCAAAATTTGAGGTCAATCCGACTTGATTTGATAGGTTTCGACATCGAATGTAGAAGTTGGAAATTCTAAGTTTCATTAGGCTTGAATTGGAGCATGATTCATGATTTTAGCGTTGTTTGATGTGATTTGAGGTTTCAAATAAGTTCGTATGATATTTTAGGACTTGCTGGTGTATTTGGTTGAGGTCCCGAGGGGTTCGGGTGAGTTTCAGATGGTTAACGGATCAAAAATGGGACTTAAACAACTGCTGCAAAAAGCTGCTGCAATTTTTCTTCTGCTGAGCAATCGAGCCCAGAAAGTCGAGCCCCAAAATCGAAGTTCAGAAATCGAGCCCAGAAATCGAGACGAGGATCGAATGCAGGCTCGAGAGCCATGACCGAAGGCAAGGCCCGAGGGCCATGATCGAAGGCAAGGCCCGAGGGCCATGATCGAAGGCTCAAGATCGATGCCATGATCGAAGGCCCAGGCTCGATGCCATGATCGATGCCATGACCGAAGGCCCGGCTCGAGCCTGTGATCGAAGCCACGATCGAGGCCCAGTTCCGAAGGCTGCCTGGGCAGATTTATAAAAGAGGAAATTTCGTCCCATTTGCCATTTTTGACGAACTTGAGCTTGAGCAGAAGCGAGTTTTGACAAATTTTCAAGGAAAAATATTTGGGAAAGTGATTCTAACTCGGATTTGGTCTATATATACGAACATATCATTATTTTCACTATTTAATTAGTGTATCGAGATTGAAATTTTGAGAAACTTTTAGAAATCTCATAGAAATGAATTTTTGAGATTTCTGTGTCGATTCAGAGTCGGATTTGAGTGAAACTAGTATGGTTGGACTCGTAATTGAATGGGTTGTCGAATTTTATAAGTTTTACCGGATTCCGAGATGTGGTCCCCACGGGCGATCTTTGAGCTAATTTCGGATTTTATTGAAAAATATAGTATATTCTTATGAAATTGATTCCTATAATTTTTGTTGACTGTATCGAATTAATTATGACTAGATACGAGTAGATCGGAGTCGAAAAATCTAGGAAAAGGCATACTACTTGGTTAAATTGGAGCAAGTCGAGGTAAGTGACTTGTCTAACCTTATGTGAGGGAAATTTTTCCTAGGATTGGTATTAATTATAATGTGATGAAAGTCGTGTACACTAGGTGACGAGTGTGTACACACACTAAATGTGAAGGATCATGTTTCTAAATTGTGAAGATCATTGTTGCATATTAATTAAATTATTAAATCTTGTTATATTCTCCATCATTGATTTGATTTGTATACTTTAAATTTGCTTAACCTTTTCCTGCTAATTGTTTTACCTGTTTAGTTGAAGCTTGGTTTCTTTTATTCTGTGCATTATTTGAAGTTGATTTCATTTAATTTAAATATTATTAATATGAAGTATTTGATATTTAAAATTTGGTATTAAAGTAACGTATTAAAGATTTTGAAATATTATTTTGCTGAATTGTTTATTCCTAAATATTTGTGTAAGATTTTCGTACTCATTGTGATGGAGCAGTGAGCTCTTTATTGTGAAAAAATATTATTGATGAATTATTTTGGCATGAGCCGTGAGCTCTTTATTGTGGAAAAATATTATTGATGACTTATCTTAGCATGAGTCGTGAGCTCTTTATTGTGAAAAAATATTATTGATGAATTATTTTGGCATGAGCCGTGAGCTCTTTATTGTGGAAAAATATTATTGATGACTTATCTTAGCATGAGTCGTGAGCTCTTTATTGTGAAAAATATTGTTGTTGAATTATGTTGGCAAGTTAAATTATTTGAGCACTTGAGGTGCAAATTGTGATATTGATACGCATGCGGT